GACATTTTCATCAGTTCCTCATAAGAGAGCAGTTGATAAAGTCTTGTGGAAGGTAAGGGAGAGCAGAGCTGTGTTTTTAGTGACACTTCATCAGGTTTGATCATTAAAAGTTACCCCTGCTGAAGGCACTTCTCTGTGCCGAGTGTCACAGAGCAGATCCTGTTCTCTCTTTCAAGTACCCACTCCAGGTTGGACTGAATGGAGTCAGTGTGCATTAGGGATGGTACAGACGGGGTCAAGCCCTGCCTTTAATCTCTGTGTATGTCCTTCTGTCAAGATGATTCATGTTTTTCAGTGTTGCACCACTAAATCTTTAAGTCAGATAGGATGAATGGCAACGAAGAACAAATTTAACTTGTTGCCATTTTTGCTCCATTTCACAGATTTGGTTTTAATTTCACTTGGCAGTGCTCTGGTGGATGTTACTGCTTGGCAGTAAACAATAAAATCCCACATATATCAGTTTTTGTGTTTTCAGGTTGCAGTTCTTCATCGATTAATTTTTAGAACGGTCCCAGAAAGCACTTAGAGAAATATTGCAGTTTGCACTTTATTGGCATTACACGGCACTATTTCTGGCTGCTGCTCAACAAAATGAATCCTTAAGTGTAAGCAAGTGCCATTGATAGCAATGGAAATATTCATGTGCTTAAAATTAAACGTATGCTTATGCATTTCAGTGAAATGAGACACCTGGTCTCTCGTGGAATGTCTGTCTAAATCGATGCAGCTCATGAATTGGGACCCAAGGACTGAATGCTCATAGAAAGTGAATGGGAAAACATGAAGGACAGAACTAAGTGAGACCACCAGCTTCAGTGTGAAGGCAGGGAAAAGCGAATCCTTTCATCTCAGGTATTTTTATAGCAGTCATTACTACAGAATTGAAGTTATGTGAACCACTTTATCAGAGAAATGTGAACTGCTTGTGTTTCTTCTGAAAACAGCAGTGAAAATGTGTTGCTAAGTGGAAGCAAAGCACGAGGCTTTATAGAAACAGCTGAAAACATTATTTGATCTTTTAAAATCATTTTTGCCAACTGGTTGATTTGGCCACGTAGCAGCCGTGCTTCATGTTATTGAAGTGCAGCTTTTAGCCACAACTCCCCTATGTTCACTGGTCAAATCTGGCCCTGATAATGTGTGCAGCCACCGTGTGAAATAACACAGAGAGACACAGGCAGGGCACCTCAGGACTGTGACTGCTGCAAGACTGTATTCACTGAACCAGGACTTTCAGCTAAGCAGGATCTGATCCCTTTTATCTGTCCAGAACAACCTTTAATATGTGGAGATCCTGGCATTTGATTATGGCTCGACAGTTAATGTTGTCTTGTATAAAAAGTGGATAGCAAGGATGTAAGTAAAACAGGGAAAGAAAAGAAATAACTTTTTTTGCTAGCAGTTCTGATGGGGATGTAGCAGAGCTGCCAACCTCTGAGCTGGAAATCTTGAGTCAAAGCTCAGAAGCAGTGCTTAGAGTTGTAAGGACAAGAATTTAGAGGTAATATTTCCTGGAGCCTCTCTCTTTCCTTCCCGAGTTTCTCAGCTCTTTGCATTCATGCTTTCCAACTTTTGACTGCTGACTTTGAAGACTAAAACTGAGAAAAGTTTAACCTGAATTAACGTTGTTTTAACACAGCTCCAGAGCAGGGTTTTTAAATCACAAAGATGACCAGGCATCACTAAAATCCCAGCCCCTATTACATACTTTCTGTGTATCAAAACCACCATCTTCCTTTCTCTTTGAGACAGATACAAATAAAGGTCTTTTGCAAACAGCTCCAGTGAAGCAGTTTCTTCCCCTGGCACTGTTAAGAGGTTATTATTAATTACTTTTGCATTACTTATGCAGGTCCATGAATGTGCACTGTCCTTTATGGATAAATCCCTCTGCTCTGAAAAGTTTCCAGCTTGCTGGCCACATCCTGCAGTGTAAATCTGTGACAGCAGGAGGCAATTTGATGCAGCAAAACAGGTAAAAGTTAATTGTTTATCCTGCAGGACTGGTGCCTTATCAACATTACTAGTTCATTTGTGTTGCAATTGCACCAAATAGACTCGGCTGATGCTGTTGTTTCACAACGTCTCTTAATCTGGCATCAGTTGAAAGCAGCAGCCTCTCTGTTCTCTTCCTCATTCCTGCTCCCTCTCTTGCTTCTTTTCTTGTGGTTTAGGCAGCCACATGGCAAACCAAATCAGTAAAATTATCCGGGTTAAGGCTCATCTGGCAAAAATAAGGGAAGGAAGGGTTTAATTTTGACCATTCCTAACTCAGATCCTGAGTGTGTGGGCTTGTAGCTCTTCCTGCCCTGCCAAATTCCAGCATTACTCTGCTGAGTGCCTCGGCTGCATGCACCCAGCATGGCACACACATGGCAAAGGTCTCTTTGCAGGGGAACTGCAGAGCTTCCCAGGGTTCTGGGGGCAGAGGAAGGATCGCTGTTACCTTTGCACCCCTGCATTGTGCTGCTTGTTCCTCCTGGTCCCTGTTTTGCTCGCAGCAGAAACGCAGCAACTCGTTTTGATGAGGTGCTCGGCGCTGGCTGCACCCTGCCTGCGGGACACGTGGCTCCCTGGTGGGAGGGATGGGATGTCCCCAGCAGCCTGGGGACCTTTTGGAGGTGCTTTGGGGAGCCCTGCACAGCTTTGGGGTGCAGCACCGCAGTCACATCCCAGTATCAGGGCTGCTTGGCTCTCAGACTGCAGCCCCGCTCGGCGCAGGGGGCCCTGCCTCAGGCACTGCACTCCTTTTAAAGCTGCTTTGTGGGTTTCTTTTCTTTTCTCTCTCTTTCCCCCC